ATAGGAAAAAGGTAAGATGCTTAACTACTTGGAAGACGTGGTGGGCAGCTGTGCTACCATAAGGCAAGAAATCAAGATTAAGAAAGTTCGATCCATATGAGTTTGAATTTGTCGTAAACTTTGGTTTTAACAAATTCGCATGGATAGGAACACATACACCGTTTAAATCTAAGTGTCATAAGATTTCCTCCTTCATGAAAATGATTGTGAGAAAATGCTTTCACTAAGAAAGATTTTAAAAGATAGTGATTGTAAAATTGCATTCTCAAATTCGATCATGGTTACGGCATCCCTTTCCATAATTTGAATTGTGAGGTTTGGCAATTAGTCTTAATTGTTAAGACACACATATGAACTATCTAAGGCAAAAGTGTATAAGTTCAAGAAGCCTTGATAAAAGATTATCAAAGCACTAAGTATTAGAAACATGAACTTAAGAAATTCAATAAGTATTGTTTTTCTGAAAGTTAAGATGTTTATGAATACATGTCGAAGCTAGTGGGAGCATAAGTGTTATGTTTTATAATAATCATCATGATAGTGGGAGCATAAATGTTATGATTGTATGATTATTAAGGCACGTATTGCATAGTTGGCAATATTAATTATAGAAAACAAGAGTCATACTTTGCAAAGTTGTAAGAGTTGAAAGGTTGTTTTGCTATAATTAAGGGAGAGAATATTATGCTTCATTTCAAATCTAAAGGATTAGGTTGTGGAATGTTAATAAATTTAGTCAAAGGTACATAGTGTGTTCTTAAAATTTCGATTGTGATTACGGCATTCCTCTTCGCAATTCGAGTTTTGAGAACATAGCAAATAAAACATTATGCGTCGTGTCCCATACGCTTCGGGTATAGGATCGATTGCGAATGCTTTAATGTTTGACCATTCTAAAATTTTCCAAATGTATAGTGCATTTAGAGGGAAAAGGGACTAGAATTGGTTTTGACTAAAATAATTAAACAACTATCAAAGGACAATCCAAAGTTCGACGAGGATTGGTCGCTTGCGAGTAGTTGGAAGTATAGTATTGGAAATTATGGAAGTGTTTCCATATTGGATGGACGATATCGACATCATTACGAATAGATAAGATTCTTTTTAAGAATGAGTTGTCATATAGAAAATATGGAAGTGTGTCCATGTTGGGAAGTAAAATCTATGTATAGATTAGAAACTTTATGTGAAAGGATGTTCAAAGGAATGTACTTTGAGTGAGAGACATCATATCTAAGGAATTGTCTTGTAACAATCTCCGATAGAGGAATTTGTAACATCATTGGCAATAGTCTTTGAGACTTTGGTGCAGTGACATTACAAAAGGATCGTTGCATAAAGTGTTAGAATCTAGTATATTCTATAAGTAACAAGAATTTGACATTCTTACACTTAAGAAAAATGGAATTGGTGTTGTAAAATGAGAATGATTGGAAATGTGTTCAATTTGTCTATTTCGCAAAAGTAAGAACCATAGGTAAACATTTTGTGCATGCTAGGAGCATGGGACAAGTGTTGGAATTCAAATGCGAAGTTGATTACCCGAAACGACAAATAATGAGTAATCGATATGGTGATAAATAAAACGTGTTTGTTTATACTCAAAGGTTTGAGGCCATATGGGATTAGTATTATTCTTGTGTTTCACCTTGCATGTTTTGACTTCCAGAATAATTGAGTTTATTAAGAATAATCGAATTATTCAAACGGGCCACAGTCGTTCATATGTTGGAAGTAGATATGAATGAAGACTGTCGTGAATTGGTGTGTGGATTGTCTAGAAGAGTATTAGACATAAGCAAATGTTTGCTGCAACGTTCATGAGTGCTTATGAATATGATTTGAGCATTGGATTAAACCCACGCTCACTTGGATCACTCCATGAATTGTATTACGAGTGATTGGTGAGACGATAACATCTTATATTCTTGAAACCGAGATGTGTGAGTTGTATCTTGCGAATCGGTTGCACATTGATAATATGTAAACGCACCAGTAACTTGGTGTTATAAAACATATTGTTGTGTGTAATTCGGTGAGTGAGTGCAAGCGAGCATTGTATCAAAGTTTATCCGTTCCTTTTATCCAAGGTAGGATAAAAGCGATATCTTTGGGCCCCTCGATGTTTTAGTGATGACAAACGTAAATGCTCGGCCGGGCTAGGGCTAATTTGATTTGTTCAATTAGTCTGTCGTCATAAATCGGAAATCGAGATATAGTACAAAGAGAATGATTTGAAATCATATCTCATACGATATCTAGAATGGAGGAATATATGATCCCTTATCTAAGGACACATGTATCTGATATGATCAGAGTTGACAGTGGCTTTGGAAAGCTACGATTGCAGATCAGGATCTGAAGTCATACGCAGAATAGTTGTTAGACTTATCCAAGTGGGAGACTGTTGGATTAGTGTCTAAGTCCATAACTATTTTGGTATGTACTTGACCCGATGGTGCATGGTCCTTTTGGGTTGCCTTCACCAAAGCAACTTGATTGGAGAAATGAATAAAGAGAGAGAGGATAATATGATTTATTAATATGTTATAAGGGATAATATATTAAAGGAGAAATCATATTTGTTTAATTAATATTGGTCAATAATTAATTAAGAATTAGTTTTGTGATCAAATGTAATTAATTAAACTAGAGGGGCTGAATTGTAATTATGTGATAGTTACAAAATAAGGTAAAGATTATCTTATATATATGGTGAACGAATTTGAGGTGTAAATCCATTAGAATTCTAGTATGATAAGGATTCAAGGATTATCTTATTGGTTGCTTAATGGATAATCAACTAGATAAGGATAATGACTGAAACCCTATCTCTACACCTATATAAACACCCCTAGGGCCATGAATTCGTGAATCCCTTCCCAAGAGGTCCTAGATACGAATTCTAACCTCTCACTTCTCTCTTTATACCTTCTCCACTTGCTTATGGTGTTTGTGAGCCATTAGAGGAGTGACACTTGTGACTCTAAGCCTTCCAAAGTCAATACAAGGAGATTTGGGATTGTTATTGCTACATAACAATCAAGGTAACACTATAAACTTATTCTCATGTTAATATGATTATATGTATGCTAGAATTAGGGTTTATAGTCTTGGATTCAAAGCATGTACAATAGAGAAACCTAGATCCAAGCATTAGGGTTTGTATGAGCACATAGGATGTCTTATGACCAAAACCCATCACTTGGTGTAAGAAATGTTTTAATGAAGGGCTAAAAGGAACATACCTAAAAGCACAAATGCTACAATTGTCACCCACTTGAATCAGACTTCATCCTTGAAGTCTTTCGTTGCAAACAATTGTGGGTAATGCTCCCTCATCTCGACCTCAGGCTCCCATGTCCATTTTGAAACCTTGTGGTGCTGCCATTGCACCTTTACCAGATCCACTAACTTGTTCCGCAAAGCCTTTGTCTTCTTATCAAGGATGGCAATCGGTCTCTCAATGTATTTCAGACGGTCATCCACCTGAATATCCACCAATGGAACCACCGCGAAATCATCAACAAAACATTTTCGTAGATAAGAGACGTGAAATTTGCTATGGATCTGACTTTGCTCCTTGGGTAGATCCAAGCGATAAGCAACTCTGCCCACCCGAGCTGAAACCCTGAAAGGACCGATGTACCTAGGGCCCAACTTGCCCCTCTTCCTGAATCGGATGACACCTTTCCAAGGTGACACCTTCAGAAGAACCATATCCTTAACCTAAAACTCTAGATATGACCGGTGCTTGTCGGCATACCTCTTCTGCCAAATTTGAGCTATCTAAAGTCTGCCCTGAACCTGCTAAATTAACTTGGTAGTCTTGAGTACCACCTCAGTACTCCCCATGACTCGCGACCGACATCACCCCAACATATGAAGGTCTGACACTTCCTCCCACAGAGCATCTCAAATTGAGGTCAATCAATGCTGGTGTGATAACTGTTGTTATACAAAAATTCCGCTAAAGGGAGATACATATCCCAACTACCATTAAAATCTAATACACATGCCTAAAGTATATCCTCAAGGTTCTAGATAGTCCGCTCACTATGGCCATCAGTCTGCGAGTGGAAAGTTGTGATGAAATGCAATCGAGTACCCAAATCCTTGTAAAACCTCTTTCAAAACCTGGAAGTAAACTGCACATCCCTGTTTGAAACCACTGGAACCGACACCCCATGACATGACTCAACCTCCCTGATGTAGATGTCGGCCAACTTCTTTGTAGAGATACTCCTTAGAATTAGAATAAAATATGCACTCTTAGTCAATCGATCCGCAATGACCCATATCGAATCCACTCCGTGCGCCGTCTGACACTCCCTACATTTTTTATAAATAGTTATATATTAAATAACAAGTTTTTTGTATTTACCGTGATCCCAATGACATAAAAACAACACTCGAAACAATCTTCAGAATTTGTTTGTATATAGGCCATTGTACCAGGATTATGCCTCTTCAAATTGTGAAAATAAATAGGAAGTTTAGAAAAACATTATTCAGAGGATCCCAACAACAGTTTCATAGCATATTGTTTTGCACGCCATACTTGTTTGTAACTTACATTGATTTCCAACAAAGCATTTAAATCTCTTGATATTTCATTAGGCCTCCAAACCTTGGAATGAACTTTTCCCATAATCTCATGCAATATAGTACCAGTGACTTTTTTATCTGCGTGCTTATTATTTGGGTGCATCTGTAATGATGAACATGTGTGTACGTTGTTGAAAGTCGTGATTTCAAATTCATCAGTGGGATCATTGCGTTTTTCTTATAAATGCCAAGTACAGTTCTCAATTTCACAATATACCTCACAACGGTTTTTGTTAGAATGTTTGGTCTGAAACCAAAACTTTTCTCTAGTTTCTTTTAGACTCAAAGAAAATATTAGTTGTTGTTTGCTATCATACGTTTGATGAACAAACATATCATCATTTGGACATAAACTGTGAAATGGTGCAGGTTCAACAATAGGATCAGGACAATCAGGTATGAGATGCATACTGTAAAAGATGTCTGGAAGTTTTTTTTCCGTGTGTGAACTCATCTTCTAACCAGCCTTCATTTGACTCTTCATTATCTGACAAAGTTTTGTTACCTAGTCTTCCAAACTCATATAAAATTTCTTCTTCAGTTGTATTCACTGCCACTGTTTCTTCTTGTGGACACTCTTCAATATTATCAGATACAATGTTTTCAACATTGTATGGTACAATCTTCTCAACCGCTTCTGTCTGTTCGACAAATCCCTCAAATACCTTCGAATACAAATGCACAATCTCCTTCGTTTCAAAAATTACAATTTTGTGTTGATGAAAATCTGCTTCAACTGCAATATTCATAACATATCCATGAACCGGGCATTGAAATGACAATGATATATTATTATTGAACGCATTAGCCTTACTTTTGACAAAATCAAACAATATTCGACAGTCGAAATTTGACGGAAGCAGTAAACCTAAGTTGTTAAACGTTGGTCTAACGTATGTGTTAATCCCATTACTCATGTGCCAAAAATAGGGACGAGCAAAAGGACCGAACCGGTCGGAACCGGCCCGAACCGGACCGGAACCGGGAACCGGCTTCGGCCAAAATCAAGAACCGAACCGGCCCGGCGGTTCTATCGGTTCCAGTTCTACTGGTTCCCGGTTCCTACCGGTTCTTGTCGTGTCTTCAAATGTTGGAACCGGTCCTTGAAAAATAGTATCATACGGTTCCGGTTTTTGCCGGTTCTACCGGTTCCGGTTATATCGGTTCCGGTTCCTACCGGTTCCCGGTTCCAAAAATCCACAAAAATAACGTCCCGGTCCCGGCCCGACCGGTTCCATCGAGTTCCGGTTCCGGTTCCGACTGGTTCCCCGGTCCATTTGCTCATCCCTAGCCAAAAACACCCCGTACATAAAATAACAAAACTCATATTATTTTTGAAAACAAATTTCTAACACTAAAACCGATCTAATATTGCAAATGGATCTAAAAAAACATTTTATACTACAAAAACCCGTCACTAATAGCCTTGCAACCACCCATTACATGGAGATTTTAAGGCCTCTGCGGAGCCTCTCGTCACCTCCTCTGTGGAGGGTTTAATGAACAATCAAACCAATCCCTCCACGGAGGGCTTAATGTCTCCGTAGAAATATCTATGCGAACTAATATTTAATTAGTAAAAAAGTACAACATTCTACATTCAGTAGAGATTTCATTGTTCTGTGGAGGTCCGCAGAGTGTCCTCCGCGGAATGCATGTCTATACCCGGAAATGTCCATTTTCATGTCTAAAATTTGAAATTACCCCCATTTTTTTTATTATAGCCGATATTTTCCAAAAAAAAAACGCGGTATCAAATTTAAGGAAATAAAAAAGATGAAAAGTCTCTTGAAACACCCTCGAATTTATAAAGACAAAAAAAAAAGTGTGCATGAATAAATATATTATTCTAATTTAGAACTCCCATAAAAAGGACTTGCTGCAATTGCAATGAGACAAACATGGGATGATGGCCATTACGGAAACTAAGAAAAGTTAACTCATTAGAAATTTGACCATGTGCACATGCTGAACATTGCAACTTGTAATACTTCTGTAATCGCATGTTCTACAAAGTATTCATATGCTAATACCTTATTCGCATGTTCATCGCATGTTTCCTTGGTTCAATGAAGAGATGCGGCTCCATGTGTAACTCAACCCGTATGCAGTAATATATATATCTCATGTACATTCATGTTTAATATTGTACTAATAAGTTATCTTTCTTCTTTGATTATAAAGGTGATGACACGAATCCAACCGCAATATGGATAATGGCTTTTTAAATTTCTGGTCCGGTTCTAGTTTTTGAACCGGGTTTAATTAGAGGCACCCAACTGATCTTGAAACCATAACCGATAACCGAACATCCGAACCTGTTGAGAAAATACGGGTCGGTTCCTTTCCATTCTGGTTCTCCGGATAGTTCCACTCACAAGAAAAAGTTATAGGATGGTCGTTAGAACGGTGTCGAGAAATTCATTAAAGTCATATAAATCCGTGATTAATACGTAAGCTTAAATATGGCACATACATAATGAGATACATACTCCGAATCTAATCTAACTACCTAATATAATGGCAAATGCATTTTGTTGAACAAAATTTAAGAAATCATGATTTAAAAAAAAAAATTATTATTATTATTATTATTACTCAAAAAGTCTTATCGAAAGAAACCCTTAGGAAATGGCAAATGCACTTTGTTGAACGAGACCAGAAAAACATATCCAAATGAGTAGGATGATGGCGAAGTGACAACATAAAAATAAAAGTGTATAAAACCCTTTCACATAAAAATAAAATGAGTAGGATGATGGCGAAGTGGCAAATGTACTTTACTATTTTTTTTCTTTTTCCATGGAAACTTTTCTAGTTTATACCGTTATGGCATTAGTTGCCAACTCCAACTTTTAAAATTTCACATGATGATGGCAAAATAAAGCATTATATAATGAAAAGTATCAATCTATTATTTTTACGGTTAATGACATAAAATCATTAAGTTTTTATTAAAAATATGATTTCAACCTATTTTTTGATGCGTCAAAATCAAAACATTGCTATTTCTCTTTATCCTTTTTATTTATAATTTTGCTATTGCTACATGTGAGGACAAGTTTTCAAATTATAATGAATTAAAATTCACAAGAAAACCTTAAGTTCATAAAAATTTTACATTGTTTTGGTGCTTATCCTTTTACAAGTTTATTTCAAGATAACTTGGAAACTCTTATTAGGAAGGAGGGAGTTATTCCATACCAACTCACTAATCCTACTGTCACATTATTATTTTTTTTTATTTTTCTTTATTTTTACCAAGTCACAACACACGTAAACTTTATTTTTTGAACGCACTCAACCCATTCAATTAAAAAATATATATACAAAACAATGAAGCTAAAATCTTAATTAGCAATAGAGTTATCACTGGTACACTCCCGCTTCAACAGGTTGTTTAATTGATTTCACTAATCCACTTCATCATCTCTCTCTACTTTCTCTTTCTCATTTTCTCTTGTATCATGTGTTTTAAAACTTGTATTTTAGTTGTTTTGTATTTTTTTTAATTAAGTGGGTTGATAAAAATAGGATTTTCGAGTATTGTGGGTTGGAAAAGATAATGAAAAAAAAGAGAGAAAACTGATATGACAGTGGACTCAATGGGTTGGAAGGAAATAACTCCCTCTTTGCTCCTCCCTAATAGAAGCTAAAATTTTTGCTTAACTTCCCTTTTCAATACACCAAAAGTGCTGTTAGAATATAACCATTTTTTTTTTTGAAAAAACTAAAGGGTTTTTATGTCATTAATTGTTATTCTAAATTAAACTTTTTTATGTACACTATTAAGCACGAGTAAAGTGTGTTTCCATAAATTTACAGATGGAACCTGTATCTAAAACAATGGTTTACTGCTTAAAGTTAGTGATCCGGTGTCTTTGGCTTGTCGGATATTGAATGTGTCAAAGAATTTGGGTTTGATGTATTTAGGTTTAAAAGATCTAAATACTATTGTGTGTTTGGTTGGTAAATTGCGAAAGGAATTGAAATTCGTTCATTTTACAAACTTTGTTTGGTTTGCAATGGATTTGAAATGAATTCGTGTTAATCGACATAAATGCCCTTTTGAATTTCATATAAATAATTGTTTTTTAGGATTGTTTACTCCCTAACTAAATAGTCTATTATTATTATTATTATTATTATTATTATTATTATTATTATTATTATTATTATTATTATTAATGATTCTCATTCTATAAGAATGTTGTGTAATGTTTATTAATCATCATATTATGTAAGAATAAAAATGAGTAAAAAATAATGTATGAAAACAAAAATCAATAAAAATTAGTAAGAATGCATGATAATAACGATAGTTATGTAAGGTTGAACTTATTTACATTACCAAACAATATATTATCTTAATCATTCTAATAGAATAAGATCATCTACACATATCCGCATAATAGATGTTCATCTACAATATAAGCTAGCCCTATATATATAGGGGAATGATCAAATGAGAACACTTAAAAGGTTGAGAACGCGAGAACATTTGTGGACCAATTATTTTATAAGAGCATTAGAGGCATTTTACAATTTAATTAAATATGCATAAATAGAAAGTAATTAATGAATTCCGAAAATCATGAGAATTTTTTCCCTAATTATTAAGAATACTTAAAATCTTCCTTTTAATTAATAAATTAATAAAAATATCATTTAATATGAATTAAAAAAAATGTTTATTTGTTTTATATTTTTATTTTTACTAACAACATTTGATAATGAATAATTTATCGGTTTACCTCATTTATTTTAAAAAAATATATATCTCCATAAATAATGATTTATACATTACATTTAAAAATGAATAAAATTGTAAATTTTATATGAATTAACTCATTTGTATTTATGAATACACTTGTAAAATAATAAATGAATAAAACTCGAAAAAAAGATTATAAAATCAACTAAAATGGTACTCATTTATAAACAAATAAAACACATTTCTATTCATATAAGAATATAATTATAATAGTAAATGAATAAGTTACAATATATATTTTTTATACGGAAACTAGTGCTACAATTACAATTATAAATGAATAAAACACATTTTTTCTCCTTCCAAAAGAGGTATTGGTGTCGGTGTTTCATTTGGTAAATCTCCTACCTCCCACTATATGCATGTTTATTCATTGTATCTATAAAAATGTTAATGAAACAATTATGTATAATTATATGGTCATTCACACATAAATACACTAATATTCACAAATGAATACCCTGTTATTCATAAATAAATGTAGTCATTCAAACATAAATTCACACATAAATATATTGGTTGTGGTTGCTTGCCTCGCTCCTCTCGGACCAGCCTCATGGAGTATTCAGTGATGATTAACTGCAAAATGAGACATCTAACATTACATTTATATAAGATTACAACTGCAAGCATTCAAGTTCCATTTTTCTGAATTCAAGCATTTCATCGAGCACCTTATGTGCATAACTTAATTCCATCACCGCCAATTAAGCTCACCAAATCCATTAAATCTCATCAAATCCATTTTACACTTCCATTAAATCTCATCAAATCCATTTTTAACGATTAACTAAGCTCACCATAGAACTCTCCTCTAGCAATGGAATCCCTGTTAGCATCTCCGAGCGCCGCCGAGTCCAAATACGTCTCCGCCAACTGCACTCTCTTCACATTATCCTGTTCTTGAACCAACATGTTCCAATAAGTCCAACAACTTCTCAACTATTATCTTCGGTTGTTCAAATGTCGGAGGCCCTTCCCTTGAGTTCACAAGCCTCTTCCCTATGCCTTCCACTCCGATACCTCCAATCCACTCCCTCACTGCATCATCGTACACTCTTGCCCTCAATGCCCCGAAGAAATCTGAACAAGAAATCATTCATAAGTTATATATATACATATATTTTAACATTTTTTGAGGTTAATTTATAGAAGAAAGAATACCGATGGATTGTCCTGGAAAAGTGTCGACAAGCTTCGTAACACCTTCAGGAGAGAGACCATCGGTTTTGAAGATTCCGATGCAGACACCGATTCTGTCTTCTCTCGTCGGAGCCCAGTATAATTTCTCCATACGTCCGTCACGGATGAGGGGAGCGTAAAGGGTGGAGAAGTCATTACCGGTGACGATGATCAGAACTCTACATCGAGACGATGAAGAACGGAAGTCATCGTTGGGATCTGCCATTGTTCGCCGCCAACATAACTCCATCACTGCGGCTTCCCCCTCATCCTTCTCGATCTCAATCTGAATCCTCGTGTACTCTCTCATCTGTTTAACATTTTTAGCTGCTTTGGTGGTGTATAGATGAGGGAGGCGACGAAGCGTGCCCTAGGTATAGAGAGAGAGATGGCAAATTAAAAGGAAAGATATCTGTGAGAAGTTATAGAAATTAAATAAACATTCAATTACTATTATACCCTTTTCACCATTTAAAGTTACACTTTAATACCAATAATTTTCAGAATTTACATAAATGGTCAGTTTGATAATAGCCTTCGATTTGAATATTTAGATGGTCTAGATCTGTTCTCGCGTTCTCAACCTTTTAGGTGGTCTCATTTGATCCTACTCCTATATATATATATATATATATATATATATATATATATATATATATATATATATATATATGTGTGTGTGTGTGTGTGTGTGTGTGTGTGTGTATTTCAACAATTAACCATTTTAAACTTTAGAACTAACGAACCATTATATTTTTCTAATTTAAAGTTTATTCTTTATCGAAAAAAATCTAAAAATATCTACATTCATAACTTTTTATCCTCTTTCCATTAATATTAAATTCGATAATTTATTTATTTATTTTTCTTTTTTGATCGGTTCAGCATTGTGATTTGTGAATATGCACAAATTCACAGTGCAGATTCACAGATCAAAAAAGTAAAAAAATCGTATTTGATATCAATGGAAAGAGGTTAAAGAGTGATATATATATATATATATATATATATATATATATATATATATATATATATATATATATATATATATATATATATATATATATATATATATATATAGCTAGGTTCAAATGTGGATCGACATCTATTGTGCGGATGTGTGGACAATACTATTATGTGAGAATGACAAAGAAAATATATTGTTTGATAATATGAATACGTTTAATATTATATAATTATTGTAATTATTACGCATTTTCACTAATTAAATCAGCTATAATGTAGCACCTGGTTTCCGGTATGTGAATTTTATTTGAGCATTGCCCTATTTTAGCCTTGGACTCGGCGAGTCATAAGGTCCGACTCGCCGAGTAGGGACGAGACTCAGGACACGTTTAAGTGGGCGACTCGGCGAGTCCATATCCTGGACTCGGCGAGTCACCGCTGCTGGATGAAACCCTAAGTTTCAAGGGTTTGCACCCTATTTAAACCCTCATTCCGCCCCAACTCGTCCCCATTCACCCCCAGAACTCCCCAACATCGTTTTTCCCTTATTTCCTTGAGAGATTGAAGTGCTCTTGGTGTGTTCTTGAAGGTTTTGAGGAGAAAGAGGTGTAGATCAAGAAGAGGAGAAGGAGATCAGGCATCTTTGTGTCATTTCAACATATTCCTTGAGGTATAGCTCGTTTCCCCTCTGTTTTCAAGCTTGTAATCCCTTATTGCTTCATTGGAGTCCTTCTTGGGCTCTTCCCCAAGCTTGTTTGTGCTTTGTGGGTGATAATAAGTTGTTAGCCTTTAGATCTAGGCATGATTTAGTCCCTGGAGTTTGGATCTATTGCCTTTATGGGGTCATATGGCATGAAAGCCCTAGATCTACCTCTTTTGGTGCACTTTGAGCCTTAAAATCCATATTGGTGAATATCTACACGTAAAGTTGGAAACTTTACGTGTGAATTGTGTCCTAGAAGCCCAGATCTGTGAATGGAATGGACTGGAATCGAGCAAATCGGTGTATTTGATGGATGCATGGCTGCGACTCGGCGAGTCATATATGTGACTCGACGAGTCTGGTCGCGAGTCGCTGAACTGGTCCCTTTAAGATGTATCGAGTTGAGCCGTGAGTCACAGGGGGTGACTCGGTGAGTTGGAAGCTGAACTCACTCATGATAGGACTCGGCGAGTCAATGCCCTGACTCGGCGAGTCCAAGGCAATCTTCATAGATCAAGAACAGACTCGGCGAGTTGTTCATACAACTCGGCGAGTCTTAGCATATGTGTTCTTCGGATGAAGATGAACTCGACGAGTTGTTCATACAACTCGGCGAGTAGGATGAAGGAGTTGAATGACAGTTTAGAAGATGAACTCGTCGAGTCATAGCCCAACTCGACGAGTAGAATCAGGGACCCAGGACAATAGTTTGCTAGGGACTCGGCGAGTGGAGATCCACTCGGCGAGTCGGGTAAACTAATAGTTGACTTCGATTTGACTTAGGGCTAGACCAGGGGTAAAATGGTCTTTTTACCCAAAGGACAGTTAGCAGTGTATGATTAAGTATATTGTGGGAATTACAGCCGGGGAGTTTCCGGAGCAGCAGCAGCAGTAGTAGGTGATCAATTCCCACACAGACCAGCAGCTATTTCGAGGTGAGTTTCCTTTCATTAGTAATGGGTCTAAGGCACCAAGGCCGGCCCGTATAGATGGGACGTTAGTATTATAGTGTGGGTCGAGCCCGTATCTATTAGTCGAGTTGATTGTGATATATACCAGTATGATAGAACTGTTTATACTTGTTGTCTGCGTGTTACTTGTATGATCTGTGTTGACGGTTGGGTGTGGGCGAGGCCCGTATCCCTCCGAGAATGGAGTGTGGGCTAGGCCCGTATCTTCACGAGTGTGGGCGGGGCCCGTATCTCTCAGAAAGTGAGGTGTGGGCGGGGCCCGTATCCTCACGAGTGTGGGCGGGGCCCGTATCTCCTAATTGCATGTTATTTGTTATATGCTGTATGGTATGGGGTATTATGGGGGAGCTTACTAAGCTTTGTGCTTACGGTTTCAGTTTTGGTTTCAGGTACCTCCTCAGCTAGGGAAAAGGAGCCGGCACGGTAGCAGCATGTCACACACACACCCTTCGGTTTCCGCATTTACGAGATTCACTGGGATTGTATTATGATATTTGATGGATTGTATGGATTGAATATTAAAACATGGTTTGCGATGTGTTATGGCGTGATCAAACAATGCTTTTATTTATTAATGTTTTCTAAAAGTAATATTTTAAAATGAAATTTTTGGACATGAAAATTGGGTCGTTACATATAAGGTTACTATAGATTTTTTTAAAATTGTTTTCATTCTGTCAGAATGTTATCAGGATGATTATTGAGTTGTTTATTGAGTCGTATTCTGTAAGAATGAAAATAAATGAAAAACGATGACAACTAAAATGTAAAAGCATGAAGTTGGAGAAACTAGGGTTCTAGCCACACATAACTAGAACAATCAACAAGTCTAGAAAAATGAAATAATCCGTACACGAGACTTACAAATCCAAAGACAAATGTTTCCAAATGATTACAATCGAAACCTTGCAAAACCCTTTGAAATTGCTCTTCTCCCATGCTCTGGAAATGAAGTATGGGTGTGTAAATGTCCCTAATCCCGTAATATGAAGGATAGGAAAAAATGCCAAAAGTTAGTTTTTGGGTCGAACATGCCCCATGTCGAAATAGAGTAAATCAACCCGTGTTGTGTGGAAATATGCAAGTTTTCATTAGGTCTTCTACCAAAGTACTATGCTAAAAAACGCTCAGCTGGACCAACACAGCCCGTGTCAAAATAGGCTAAACTGACACGGGTCGTGTTCAGCATGGTCAACAGCTTCTTCTTGGTCAAACACGATCCATGTTCATTTTTCAGTGCAAGTCCAACATGCCCTATGTTTTCTCCTGCTTCCATGTCTAATCTTGATTTTTCCAACTTTTTTGTTTTGCATCCAATCATCCTAGAATCTTCACCCATGCTTTCCGGTACCACCCAAAGTGCATTTCAACCTCCGGTTTACATGAAAGACCATAAAAGCATGCAAATAAGGTTATTCTATAGACTAACATAAATTTAATGAAATGCAAGAAAAAATGAAAAAAAAAAACTATTCTAAATGGATGCATAAAAGGGATTAAAAGTTATGCAAAAAGGTGCACAAAATGCACCTAACAACCACCTTCTGGCACAAGGCCATGATTTTCCAATCCAAAATTGCCACCGGTCTCTCGATCTAGTTCAAAAGATCATTTACATGAATGTCGTCTATAGGAATTGTCGCTGAATTGAAACATCCCAAAATACGACCCAAAAACTTTTGTTTAACAATTACTAAAAATACTAAGATAATATCATAAAATAAAATTCATACGTCAATATCTCAAAACCGTAGCAAAGTGTTATGTAGAACTGTATCAAAACTGTATCAAATCACATTTATGAAAAACTAAAAACATCTCCCAGGACAACTGAAATTGTGGTGTATGCGATGCCATCAACCCGAGCTCTTCCCTTTGCTTGCGGAAGTACCTGAAACCAAAACTGAAACTGTAAGCACGAAGCTTAGTGAGCTCCCCGAAACTACCACATACCATATAATACATATAAACACATACTGGGCCTTGCCTACTGCATCGGACCGAAGTCCGGAACTAACCAGGGCCTTGCCCTCTGCATCGGACCAAAGTCCGGAACTACTGAGGCCTTGCCTCCTGCATCGGACTGAAATCCAGAACTAACTGCATCAGACCGAAGTCCGGAACTAACTGCATCGGACCGAAGTCCGGAACTGACTGCATCGGACAGAAGTCCGGAACTACTGAACATGGCATAACATAAACATATCAACTAGCATGAACACATAAACTGCATACTGCATTGGGCTGTAACCCGGAACACATAACACATAAATCCTGTCTGAGCCATGAAGGCATCAAACATACTAAAATCTGCATCGGACCGAAGTCCGAAAACTACTACTAGCTAAACGGGCCGGCATTGTGGCCTTAGTCCCGTTCCTACTATCTGATGCTGCTCCGGTATCTCCCCGACTACAATTCCGCAAATACACTCAATCAAATCCTAATAACTGCATTGGGGTAAAATGACTCTTTTACCCTTGGCTAAAGTCAACTCTCCTGGTCAAAGTCAACTCTTCTGGTCAAAGTAAACTTACAGTTGACCTGACTCGCCGAGTTGGGCCGTCAACTCGCCGAGTCCCTACTCTCATTTCTCAACCCTGCTCGCTGCTACTCGTCGAGTATGGCATAAACTCGATGAGTTCCCATTCGATTCTAAAACTCCGGGTA